GTGAGAGAGTGTGTGTGTGTGTGAGAGTGTGTGAGTGTGTGTGAGAGTGTGTGTGTGAGTGTGTGTGTGAGTGCGTGTGTGTGTGTGTGTGTGAGAGAGAGAGAGAGTGAGTGAGGCTGCACTTATAAGAATCAAATGTCCTCACTAATAACTAATATAGAGAAACATTAAATAAGGCTCATAAACGCTCCAGATGATGTTTGAGTCAAGTGACGGTTCAGAGGCGGAACATTATGAGTCTGAAATGAGACCAGAACTAAACTGATATCACAGTGTTAACCAGGATAAGGTTACATGGAAACACACAGTTCTCACTGAGTCCTGAAGCACATCTGCATGTGTGTTCAGGGTCCTGCACACGCCTCACGCCTCAGCGCCTTCAGGAAGTGAGAAGAACACAACATCCTGTCACACAGGTGTCTTCAGATGAGAAACACTACAGCAAATAAAAACACACAAGTCCAAATCAAAACAACCCGACAGTAAATAAAGCTGCAGGTATCAGACATGATGCCAGCCTCCACCTGACAGATTCTCATGACGGTGTGAAACAGCTTCTTCAGTTCAGCACCAAACACACCATCAGCTGTCAGAAATCAACGTCCAGTCAAATCAAGCCTTCATTATGTAACACACCGCAAACACTGAAGACTCTCAGACACTAGCACACACGTGTAGCATGTAAATCTGCAGTCAGTATTGATCCAGACACCCTCATGAATACGCTTTAACACTAATCACAGTCTGATGACATTCAGCTCATTTCATAAACATCAGCTGTTTCCTCACATTCCTGTCAGCTGCACTCACATCTGCTGACAGACAGACAGACAGTGTTCCTACATGCTCTCATTTCAGCGACAGTCGCAGTAAACACCTGCGTTATTAGCGGTTTAATGAAAATAATCACTTTTATGGCCCAGAGGCCGGTTTCCGCACAGACACCGAACGAACGCGGACTCTCTCACTCACACACCCGCACGGAAGTGTGTTTCACGCCGATTACAGTAAGAATCTGTCACGGTGTTCCTGAGGCCTGTTAGCCTCGGTGCTAACGGCTAACCGCTGCCCCCCTCAGTAACGGCGCGCCGCTGAATCCCGTGACGCCCGCAGCCTCACCGCGGACAGCAGCTCAGAGCAGGCTCCTCCGCCGGAGCGTCAGCAGCCATTTTGCTCCGCAAACAAACACAAACCGGCTTTAGACGCGCGGATGAACGCGTCAGACGCGAGCGTTTCTCGGTCCGTCTCACGCGTTTGCGGTGTCAGTCAGGCAGGCGCTTAACAAAGAGAAACAAACGGGCTTCACAAACCTCACTCACCGACAGCCGGGCTCGCTCGTCGCTCGTGTTTCGCGGGAGTTCTCCGCCTTCACGGGCTCGTCTGCTCGTTTCGGGTGTTTTTCCTGCGTCACCAGCAGCCCCCCCCCCCACACGACACCCGTCCTCACTCACCGACAGCCGGGCTCGCTCGTCGCTTGTGTTTCGCGGGAGTTCTCCGCCTTCACGGGCTCGTCTGCTCGTCTGCTCGTTTCGGTTGTTTTTCCTGCGTCACCAGCAGCCCCCCCCCACACACGACACCCGTCCAGACTCAGTCCGTCACACCACTAACTACACCCACACCGACAAACCCGGTTAACGGGCCGCAGAGGGATGATTTTACCGCTCAGCGGATGTTTAGTTGTTCTGTAGCGACTCGATGTCCCGCAGCGGCCCGTTTCATGTTTAAATGTCTGCGGCTGCGTCTCAGAACCTAGTGTGCTACCTACCTAGACATCACACACACACACTGGTTCTGTGTGAATATATTTATCAGAGGTTTGATCAGTCGGTAAATGTGTGGAAGTCACTGTTGTTTTTGTTGTTGTTCCAGCAGGAGGCGACAGCGCGCCAAAGACCCGGAAGACAATGACGTCACCGTCGAGTTAGATCACGTGCTCAAATGAGAACTTCACCTTTGTATGAGTTTTTTTTTCTTTTGGCTTGAAAGATAATCAAATTAAATTGGTTCATGTTGCGCTAATAGAACCAGCCGAACTCTGTCTCTATTTAATATGAATACTATAAAGCATTTACCAGATCACTGCCTTTATTAGGGGTTGGGGATGTAAGTGGCTAAATTTAGAAGCGCTCGTGCTCCTGAATATTGAAGCAGCGCCATCTGCTGGAGGAACATGAGCACTCTTCAGACCATCATCATCATCATCATCATCACTGACATAAAAACAACATGCATGACCTGATTTCATAGACATTTTGTTGTTGTTCCAGCAGGAGGCGACAGCGCGTATCAGAGGTTTGATCAGTCGGTAAATGTGTCGAGTTCACTGTTGTTTTTGTTGTTGAACTTCACCTTTGTATGAGTTTTTTTTTCTTTTGGCTTGAAAGATAATCAAATTAAATTGGTTCATGTTGCGCTAATAGAACCAGCCGAACTCTGTCTCTATTTAATATGAATACTATAAAGCATTTACCAGATCACTGCCTTTATTAGGGGTTGGGGATGTAAGTGGCTAAATTTAGAAGCGCTCGTGCTCCTGAATATTGAAGCAGCGCCATCTGCTGGAGGAACATGAGCACTCTTCAGACCATCATCATCATCATCATCATCACTGACATAAAAACAACATGCATGACCTGATTTCAAAAGCAATTTACTTTTTCCAACACATGAAAGGAAATAGAAAAAACAAACAAACAGACATACTGAAGAGCAGTTTCATCATTTGCAGAGGAATTTACACAGGGCGATATGAAATTAAGAGTTCACACAGTCTGTTCAGTTGTTTATGCACACACTACTTCATTTCAACCGCAAATTTACGCACCATTGAAACATTTACACACAATTAAATCCTCTCGGTTTTCTTGGAGTAAAACAATAATACTCTTAAGACAACACATTTTCTGAAATGGTCGATCTAGGAATTAATATTTTCCTCCTCGTTCCGCACAAGAAAGCAAATCCAAGACAATTTACAAACACGTCACTACACGGGGCATGAGGCTCGGAGGTGGATCTCGACACACACATCTAGAGGAAGAGGAGGAGCAGCCCGAGGAAGAGCGCTGGGCTGCGCTGCCCTTTGTGCAAACCTACATCTGTAAACAGAGGGGTGTATGCAAACGGTGCTCATGTGTGTGTGAGAGAGAGAGAGGGTCAGCTGTGCTTATATACTGCAGGCAAGTGGGCGGAGTCACGTAGCCACGCCCACAGTGTGGGGCTGATGGGTGTTGGCTCCTCCCCCTCCACTGACTGTGCTCATCATTGCTCTGAGACGCCGTCTCGTACGTTTAAAAAGAAAACCGTATAAAAAGTCATCAACCCCCCTCGTTATTCGTACAGGACCATATCTATGACTTATATATTCATATTTATAGATATTTATATATGTATAGATATATACAACGCTACGCACTGGTAGTGGCCGGGCTGTAAAGTCCGTGTGTGTGTGTGTGTGAGATGGCTAGTACACCCAGGACACCGGCACCCACTGCGCAGTGCTAGACACCAGATCGATAGCCTCCTCCAGCAGGCGGATGGTGTCGTCGATCTCGTTATTGATGATCGTCTGGTCGAAGTAATGTGTGTAAGAGTGCTGCAGCGCCTCCGACTCCTTCTGCAGCCGCTGGAGAGACTCGTCCTGATGAGAACAGACACACAACATCAGCGAGATCACGCTTCCGTCACGCGGCTAACGAGAAAACACGCCATCTACCACAAACATGCTTCCGTCTGAGCGAGTCGTTCCAGGACAGAAGCTCCATACATGTTCAGTCCACATTCATTACAAACCAGCGCAGTTTCTGCTATTTCAGACATACTATTATCATTTTTATTAACACTTTGTATCAGTTTTTATTTTTTGTTTTCATTTTGGATAAAGTTTTGGAAATGTTGTCATTTGTAGTGTTTTTTTCTATATTTCTATATAGTTTTAATTAATTTTATTTTGATTTTAGTTATTATAGTAGTACATCAAGTTCAACTAAATTAAAATGAGAAATGTTGCCTTGGCAACTAGCTGAAAAAACAGTTTTTGATCTAAACACGAAACACTGATCTATGTGCATGCATTCTGACGCACTAATCACATATTGAAATAAACATGAATTATTATTTGACATCAAAAGGCAAAAGCTCAAAAACTGGCGAGATTAATATGTATTAGGGGCCGTTCACACTAGTGTTAATTTCGTTAACAAAAAGTATGATGAAAAATGTTTGTTGACGAGCTTTTTTCCCATGACTAAGACGAGACGATGACGAGATAAGGTCAATAAACGATAACTTTGAATATATCAACATGCAATATCGTTGACGAAAAAAGATGAGACTAAAATGTATTTTAAAAAATAAGAACTATACCAAAATTTCTTTTAATTTTCGTAGAAATTTTTTTTTGGTCAAAATATTATTGCGGACTGCTGTAAAGTTCACATTGTATTAATTTGTGCTTAATGGAGAAAGTGCAATACCTGAAATGGAAAAAATTACATCTTTACTTACAGGCAGTTTTCTGCACCATCTAGGGAGCTGCGAGCAGCACACGGAGACGCGAGAAGAAACAAATCAACACTCAGAAACACATGCAGCATGCAATAAACGAGACGGCGGCGCTCACCTCGTTCATCGCAGGAGTGATAGTCGGTGCTGCGATGAAGATGACATACGGCGCAAACTCAGCCGTCCGCAGAACCTTCAGCGCCTGTGGAAACAACACGAGCGCATCAGAAGCACACAGACAGAGAGAGAGAGAGAGAGAGAGGGAGGATGCGTCCGTACCTGCGGCTCCACGTCCAGGATGACCACCATGCCCTGCTCGTGGATCTGGCGGATGGTCTCGAGGCGCGTGCCGTACATGGCGTCCTCGTGGCTGCCGTACTCCAGGTAATCGTTATTGGAGATGTCCTGCATCATCTGGTCATGTGACACAAAGAAGTAGTTCTTGCCGTTCTCCTCGTCCTTCTTCGGAGGTCTGGTGGTGTCTGTCGGAGAGAGAGAGAGAGAGAAATTGTTCATGGAATAATAAATGTTGATTTGTTCTATTTTAATTATATATACACATGCATGCATTTTTTTATTATTTATTATTATTGTTATTTTATTTATTTATTTATTTTTAGTCTATCTTTATTATTTGTAAATCACTTTAGATAAAAATGTCTGCTAAATTAATAAATATAAATCTCGGACAATAGTTTTCAGTCTTGTTATGTGTCTGGTTCACTGTCGGCTTGCTGCGAT